AGGCTGCTACTTGTTTTTCGCAATTTTGGAATCACAGCAACCTGAACTTCAAAAGATCATAGCATCCTTGTTTTAAGTCCAAATTGAGCGATTTTTGAGTTGAAATTGACTAGCTCGAAACAAGCTTTCGAACGATACCAATTTTAACATTTGATTCCTTCTGTGGAAAAAGTTATGACCTTGTAAACATAGGCTGCCAGTTTTACGCTGTAATCTACAGAATTTCCTACAGAGCGACCTGAACTTCAACTGACCACAACTTCCTCATTTTAAATCCAAATTGAGCGATTTTTGAGTCTAAATTGACTAGCTCAAAACAGGCTTCCCAATGGTATCAATTTTAGCCTTAGATTCCATCTGTGGAAAAGGTTATGACCTTGTAAACATAGGCTGCCAGTTTTGCACTGTAATCTGTTGAATTTCCTGCACAACGACCTGAACTTCAACTAACCACAACTCCCTCATTTTAAACCCAAATTGAGTGATTTTTGAGTCTAAGGTGACTACCTCAAAACAAGCTTTCCAATGATATGAATTTCAGCCTTCGATTCCAATTGTGGAAAAAGTTATGACCTTCTAAACATAAGCTGCTACTTGAAAATTAGAATATTGGTTGTTATGATATTTCTTGAAATGGGAAGTTTTGTACTTGATTTTCTAAATGTTATTAAGCACTGTTTATGTTGTTATGTGGTAAATGTGAGTTAGAAAGTATGCTTCTTATGTTATACAACCATGGATTAATTAGCCTGTTAATTTACCATGCTTGTGTGTGGATTAAAATGCACTACCATGATATGGTATATGAGTTGACATTTCCATATTTATTTCATTACCAGTATATCATGTTTTACAAATGTACATGCGTCTCACATGAGCATGGGGATGATGTTGGAATGAAAAGGAAAGTGCAAATGTTTCATTAAATGGTTTTGAAAATCTGATAACAGGGAGGTGCCTTGTATCCATGAGTTTAGAAAAGGGAATTGAATCAATGATTTCAAAACCAGACAAGGAGTTTCCTTGTCTGTGCAGTTAATGGGAATCTAGAGGAGACGTAGGGAGTGGCTCTACGCGTAGTTGTGTCACTGGAGCCCCAAATGATAACAAGGAGTGGCCTTGTATCAGGGATAGATGACCAACTGTCTTCTCGTGGTACTGAGGAGCTGCCCTGGGCGGATTACATTAACTTTTTGTGATGGAAATGGGATCTTTGGGAAGTGAAAAGTGTTAGTGGCATTAGCATTGGCATTGGCATTGCATAACACTTCCTTTTATTATCTCATTTTATATTTTGTTTGTTTCTGAGCTTGTATAATCCCATTATCCTTTGTCTGTTCTTTGTTTGGATTCACGGAGGTATTAAGGAGTGTGTTTTAAGTAATTCCCGCTGAGCTGTGATTGCTGTAATACCCCTAATTTTAAAAAGGATATTCATGGTATTGAATGGTATTTAATTTATTATTTAAGTGCATTTTATTTGATTATGTGTCATTATTTTTTTTATTAGGTGCTTAATTGTTTTCTTTTGTGGTGATTTAATTTATTTCTTTTGTGGTAATTTAATTTATTTAAATGATATTTATTTTTAGTTATTTGATTGGAATTACTTGTTAGTGTTTTAATTATTTAAGTGGCATTAATGGTTTAAGTATAATTGGTTTAGTTATTTGATTGGAATTACTTGTTAGTGTTTTAATTATTTAATTGGCATTAATGGTTTAAGTGTAATTGGTTTAATTATTCTATGTGTGTCTTATTTTATGTGTGTCTTATTTGGTTTAATTAGGTTTACTAATTATTATTTTGTTCAATTAGATTATTTGTTAAGTATTTAATGGTGAATAGGGTAATTAAGTAAATACATCTAACTAGGGTTTTAATTACAGTATAAATTAGGGTTTTATATTATAGCCGTCGTAGGTTTCTACGTTAATTGGATGAGCCGGTTAGGATTGTGAGTTGGACTTAAATGAACCTAGGGTTTAGGAAAACTCTATAAGTATAAGGTAGACGTCTGTGTAGGGTTTTTTTTTAAACAAAGCACACGTTTTGTGGAAGTGGAGAAGGAAAAACGCAGTTTTTCACATTCTGCCAAGGTTTGATCAAAGCTCCGATCCCGCTTCGTCCGTGGTCCGATCGAGCTGAATTGGAGGAGAGGTTCACGACTCAGTGACGCACAATTTGAACGGTGGAGATCAGAGTTTGACCTCGGGAACAGTGATTCGTACTCGTGAACAGTAACTGGGTCGCACAGGTTTTTTTCCATTCTGCCTAGATTTCATCAAACATCCGATCCCGCTTCGTCCGTGATCCGATCGAGCTGAAATTTGGAGAATAGGTTCATGACTCAGTGTTGCACAATCTGAACGGTGGAGATCAGATTTTGAGTTCGGGAATAGTGTTTCATACCCGTGAATAGTAACCGGGTTTTGGAACTCGCCGGGATTTTTTAAGAAGACGACGTTGAAACTTTGAACAAAAGTTTCTGAGGCAAGATTATATCCTTACTCTTTCCCTTAGGCTTCATACTCTTTGCACTCTTAAATGATTTTAGGATTAATGAAGATTAAACCAAACTAAAATGATATCTGTTTTGCTATGAAACTGGTAGTTACAGTAGTGTTGTATGCTTGTTCAACCTAGACTAAGCATGTTTGTGGATGCATTGTGGTTCTGTGGTTCACGTTTTTCCTTACCACTGCTAGTATAAATTATTGGAAGGATGGGTCTAGATGATAGCTATCTTAACTTCTGTAATGGCAACTGTTGGAACTTAAATACTAGGAGGATTTGAGTTTAACACTAGATCGGTTTTGTGGAACACTATAATTTGAGCATGTCTACATACATACTGTGAATATTGTTTTGATGCTTACATTATCACAGTTAGTATCAACTGTGAAAGTTAGGATTTTGTGATACATACCCTACATATCTGTATGTCATTTGTAAGGTGTTAAATGGAAGTTTTAATTAATTCTGTCTTTATATCAGACTAAAGGGAACAACTTAAATTGGGCATGTATATGTTGTTGTTATGACCCTGTTTATCAATGCTTATTTTATCACTGCTAACATTGAATGTTGGATGTTGGAATTTAGTTGATATATACTTGATTTATTGGTATTATTGACTACTGGAGGATTGGAAAGTAGGCACCGGTATGGGACGGTGGCATACTAAGGATGGGTTTGGTTTTTAAAACAATACCATTACCCACCTACTTGGAATAAGGATGGGATTAACTAAAAGTTAAGTCCCGTGGATTTGTATTGTCATGGCAACTACTTGTTGAGCGGCAATACCAGGGATTTTGGATGGATTTTATATATGTACTGTTATAGTGCCTCGGTATGAGCTTGAGCCTCAGGACCGATGGCTAAGGAGCGTATATGCATCGGGATGTGTAGCTGGCTACGATGGTTGGAGGTGTACCCTGTTTAGGTATAAGTACATATGCCCACTTCGTGTGCGTTTTAGCATGTTACCTCTATTCAGGTTGAGACCGGCCTGTAGTCCAGTGAGAGTCCTTTAGTGTGACTATATATATATATATTTACGGACTATTAGCTATTGTTGAATTGTTTAGGATGTACATGCGTATCGGGCCTCTGTTTAGATTGTAATAGTATAGAACTTGCGCGTGGGCCTGACCCACTTTTATTTTTCAGGTACACGACAGTTCCAGGCTTAAACGTGTTCGTGCTGAGCAGAGGTCTCTATTCACTCTTCCGACGATGTAGAGCTCTCTCTATAGTTTTATTTCTGGACGTTTATTACAGTTATTCTATCTTCCGTTTAGATGTTTAATAGGGGTCCACTAGAGATGGATTCCCAAGTTGTAAACTGATGGAGTTTTGAAGTTTGGGTTTGATGGATTTTAATAATTATAATATTTTGCGGATTCTATTTTTAGTTCCTTCCAGTTTTAATTTCATTTCTTAATTTATTTTGTATTCTGTGTTCATTATAAAATATTAATTGTTTGATATTCCCTCGGGTTTGGGCCCGGGCCTGATCAACCCGTGTCTCGGATCCGAGGGGTATCTCAGTTGCTCATTCCTATTTTATACACATCTTTTTAGGTCATGGCATGGATGGTGTGGAGGGGTTCCTCCTCAGCTGTAGACAGAGTCGGGGCTGGTGTTGTTGTATTTTGTTCTGCATAATAGACTATGTTTTGTATTATATTTCTTTAAAGTATTCCTGGTATGTAATAAATGTTATTTCAGACTTAAAACTTTAAAGTTGGTAATATGTGCGTCTTATCTATTTATTTTCAGTCTTGGTTTTGTAAAGAGAAATAGATAGGTGGATATGTGGTTAAGACAGGTTACAGGGATATTAGTGATTTTGAGGCTATGATTGTTTGTGTGTTGTGTTCACAATCCGGACCATGGTCTAGGGTTGTGACAGAGGCTTTCAAAGAATTCACAAGGAGGACTTGATGAATTCAAAAAGTGAAGTTCTACGTATTTCCAAACTTCAGCACCGAAACCTCGTGAAGCTTCTTGGTTGCTGCATTTAAGATGATGAAAGGATGTTGATCTATGAATACTTGCCCAACAAAAGCATGATTTGCTTCATTTTTAGTTTGTATCACTCAAAAACTTTGATGTATTTAACCCTCTGTAATTTTTGATAGTCTTAATATTCTAAACTTAGTCCTATCAAGTTTATTCTTTTTATTTTTTCAAAAATGTCCTGTCAACTTACTTTCATTATGCATGGTACAAAATCCCCATTTAAGCGGGTGATTTTATCAAAAGCCTTGGGAGAAAGGTTAAGTTCCACATCTATCCCAATTGAAGATGGGAAACAGGATACTTTTAACTTCATTGTAACAAGAGCAACTGCTTGAACTTGCTCCTAAGGATTTTATCCATGGTTGTGATTTGTGAATTTAGAAAAGTAGTTTTCATTTAGGTTCATGAATCCAACTAAATAGCAACATGAATTAAATGGATGGAAAAATTGGGCAGATAAAAAACAAAGCATGTTACTGGATTGGTCTAAGCGCTACAACAGTATCAATGGGATTGCTCGGGGACTTCTCTATCTGCATCAAGATTCCAGACTCAGAATTACCCATAGAGATCTCAAGGCTGGCAATGTTTTACTAGATAACAATATGAACCCCAAAATTTCAGACTTCGGTATGGCTAGAAGTTTTGGAGGTGATGAAATAGAAGCAAATACAACTGGAGTGGTTAGAACATAGTAAGAACTTCGAATAGGTTGAATGTGCTACTTCTATTGCTCAGAAATTGATTTCTTTATTATTATTATTATTATTGATTGATTTCCTGTAGCGGCTACATATCCCCTGAGTATGTAATGAATGGATTCTTCTCAGTAAAATCTGATGTGTATAGCTTTGGTGTATTGGTGCTTCAAATAGTAAGTGGGAGCAAAATAAGAGGATTTTCTCATCCAGACCACAACCTCGACCTCCTAGGACATTAAGTGTCAAGAGCTACTATGTAGTAGATATTTCAGTGCATTGATTCAATAATTACTGACAAAATGAGTGGCAATTGTCTAGGCATGGAGACTTCATAAAGAAGGTAAGTCTCTGGAATTGATGCATCGATAGTGCACTCGTGTAATTTTACTGAAGCATTTAAATCAATCCACATTGGTCTGTTATGCATGCAACAAAGTCCAGAGGACAGACCCAGCATGTCATCTGTGGTGCTGATGTTGGGTAGTGAGATTGCATTGCCTCAACCGAAAGAGCATGGATTTTACACTGGAAGAAAGTTTCCTTTAGTAGATTCATCATCAAGCAAGCTTGAATTATGTTCACTCAATCAATTAACTATAACAATTTTAACCCCATGCTAGAAGACCTTTCATGTCAATATTTTGGTTCTCCACATCATGTGATGTCTTGATTTGAATTGTTTTGATTTTATTTCATTTGTAATTGGTAACTTCACTAAAAACCTAAGAACTTGGTATTTTGACCACTATGAATTTGTAGCTACAGTATATGACAGTGATACCTTGTGGCATTGCAAGTCATTTCAGTAAAAATTGTTCCTAGGAAAGAATTTAGGAATAAATTAGTCGCTTCAAATCTACAAATAATGCATTTCCTTTTCATTATTAGAATGATTATAATGTCTAGAAAGGTCGCCAATATTTGTCAAAGGAGAGACTTTATATTATCCCTTGGCTAGGAAACCCTAAATAAAGACTTTGTATCATCCCTTGGCTTGGAAACCCTAAATAGCTTGCCCTTTTACAAACCCAATTAGAGTCTTTAACAGATTCGAATTTGGGGTTTGTTGGTCTCAAATTTGTGGGAAAGGGTAATTGGTGTTCTGTTAACCTAAATAGCTTAAATAAACAGCCACCAACAGGGAGCGGTGGGCAGACTCAACTTGGTGACAAAATTTGCGACCGGTGACAAGCTCGCTGGCAGGAAACTGATAGGATTCTGGTTCAACTTGGCGACAAACCTTGCGACCAGCAACAAGCTCGCCGGGAACTGATAAGAAAATTTACATATAGCACCATTGTTGTTCTTTGTGCATCTTTCTAATTCCATTGCATACTGCTCATACTATTGCTTCTTATAATCCTATTCTCGCCTTGTGTATAAAATTTCTTACATTTTGTTTCTATAAAATCGTCACAGAAAATAAATGATAATAAATGAATGTCAGCAGCCTTACTAGATGCATCTTTCCATTGCTGACTCTTCTTTCTTCTCCCTTCCTCTTTTATACCTGTGATGCCCTAAGGGGTCTCGTTTATTGGGGAACAAGCTCCAGCCCGTTTCTTGCTTCTTCGGATAGAATTGGGCCTCTTAAAAGGTTTGGGTCAAAGGGTTGAACCCAGCTTGGGCTTATGTACCTAGTTTGGTCCAGTCTCAAGTTCTGGGTCTATTTATCTGGGTCTTGGCCCATTGCTTGGTTCGGACACGCGTCTTCTCTTATTGCGTAGGTGTCAGGGTCTCATTGGATGGGGGTTTTCCCTCCACAGTATTTCAAAGAATTAGTTGCAGAAGGCCAAGATATTCCTACCCCAAGTCGAGGGAAATGAACAGTTGATAGATGGTTTTTTTATTTATTTGGTAAGTCATAAATTCATTGTATGTCGTAGTGTTTATGTGGACATTCTTGACCTTGGATTTTGTTACACCAAAGCACTCTATGGAAAGGATTAACAAAAGTTTGAATTGCCTGCAATGCTCAATTTTTGGCTGATGCCATCTGAGTAAGATTTATCACACTCATAATTATGAAAAAAAATCCTCCAAACTGTCAATCCGGTGCCGTGCTTATGATGCCCTTTGACCTTTATGTGTAATATATACATGTATATATATTTTCATGACAAGAAATTTACACATGTTTTTATGCGAACTTGAACCCTCACCTTTAGGAGTGTATACTAATCGAATTGGTTCGGCTTAGACATTGTTGATGAACTCGCCACATCACCTGTCTATGTGGCACCTCCTTGAAAAGACGCTTCGCATCACCTGCTTATATGGTCCCACCTGTCTCAACAGGCACAACTAGCCAGAATCTGTCTGGCGTGTCATCGAGAAAAGGGAACAAGTAGTCCTGGGCTGCTCGCCCCATGACTGGAAATACTGGCGAGGAAGGGGTCGCTACCCTTCACTCCTTCAAGGACGTACCCCTCTCCATTCGGATGGGTCCCTCCTCATTGCACTATCCATCGCTCGAGGTCCCTACCTGCAGACGGGACCTCGGCCGCGTGATTACCTCTGTCACCTCGAGCTCCCCTCGCCATGAACACGAGGGGACCTCAAAGTCTGGCTACCTCGAATTCTCGACCTGGGATCTGAAGGGAATTCAAGGACCAAGGTCTGTTACCCCGAGCTTCCCTCACTCTGAACTCGCGGGAGTCTCGGGGAGCCATGATTCGAACTAGATCTTGCAAGGTCAAGAAGGTAATACGTTGAGGAGATCCGTTCTCTACCTTCAAAATCGGGAGTCTGAGAAAATGTGGACAGGTGGCTGGGCAGGTCAGCACAAGGGGGAAAGGATACCGATACCCATGGTCGAGCTCTAAATGGGGTTAAAAGAGGTTATTAATTATGAAAGACAGCCGACATGACTAGCATTAATGAGGAAGCGCCATTTTCCCTTTAGACTGGGGGGCAAAGCGGTTCTTCCTCTTTGGACTAAAGGGGGAAGGTATCTTCACCCGATGAGCAATGTCCCATCTGTCAGAGGAAGAGGTCCTCGATCCCTCGGACAAGAGGGAACTCACCTCTGTAACCAACGGATATTGACCGTTCGGAGGCATTATAAATAGGAGAAGTTAATTAGCTTTAAAAGCAGAGTTAAGAGATTTCCAACTACCAATTACCATCGAGCTCGAACCTACTGGGTATCACCGTACATTGCCTTCCCTTTCTCAACCCCTAAGTTCCAGGGAATCCTTTGTGTTGCTTAGGTCCCCACTTGGATACTGATCTCAGCACTCCCAACTCACGTGGAATATAATCCTCATATCATCCCGAACCACTATCAATATTTTGGCGACTCTGCTGGAAAGGAGTATTTCATGATGTCAAGTGTGCATGAATTCAGCCCTAATCCTCAGGAGGGAGTCTCCCTCGGAGAGGAGTATGACGGGACTGCGAGCAGTGTCCCGGGAGCACGATACTCGGGAAGGACGATTCTTTTCTCCGAGGCCCTAATCGAAGCTGGAAGACACTCAGAGCGAAGTAATAGCCCTGCTCAGAGACATCGCCAATAATGGAGTCCCACGGCGCCCGACGGAGCAACGTGGCGGTTTCGTTTGCGAACCCAATGAAAGTCAGGTAACCCCGGATCAGTTGGTACGCCGGGCATATCCTTCATCTTCGGAGGGGAGAAGATTGGTTAACTCTCTTAGACGGTCGAGGGAGGCGACCACTGGGGCCTGTCGAGCCCTATTCAACACCCTACTCACAGCTCCAGTTAGGGCAGGTGTGCCCGAGTCTAGCCACAGGGAAGCTATTCGTGAGGAAAGGGTCCCCGATGGTACACAGTACCTACAGGAGTTGGCCCAACATTCACCCTCTGTGACCTTGGTGGACCTCCAATCGCTATGGCGAAAAGGAAGGTCCATACTCTCCCAAGAGGAGGCCCCCGAGCCGCCTTATTCTCAAGCTATTGCACTGCTTCCATACCCCCAGGGGTATGTCGCACCAAAATTCAGTAAGTTCGACTGTAGGAAGGGCAACCCGCGGGAGCATATGGTGCGGTTTATAGAGGCATTGGAGCCTTTTGGAAATGATCACTTCCTACGACTTAGGGAATTCTCCAAGACTCTTACTGATAGAGCTTACAAATGGTATGTAAACCTGGAGCCAAGGTCTCTCAACACGTGGAATTAGTTGGCTTTGTTGTTTCATACCAAGTTTTTCCAAGCCGAGGAAAGAGTGACCACGTTATCTTTGACAAAGGAGGTGCAGGGCCACGGGGAAGACTTGTTGATTTATGTTCACAGGTTTCATGACCGAGCCATGGAGTGTTACGAAAAGCATGAAGAGGAGGCCCTAGCCAAGATATGCATACAAGGGATGCAGGGGGCCTATCGGATTCACCTTATCAATTTGAAACTCCCTACCTTTGCAGATCTAATTGAGGCATCTCACAATCTAGCGGGAAATCTTACTGTCAACACCCAACTCTAGGCACAAGATGATCACCGAAGCAAGCACAGGCCTCTGATTTCAGCGGCTGATGCACCCACTAGCAAAAGGGGTGCAGGAGTGGCTCACCCTCCCCGAAGGAGAAACCCAGAAGAAATCCCGCCTCATTTTTCATGCACGATGGAAGAGGTCGAGGCCATTCTCAAAAAATGGATCCAGCATGGAGACATCAAGCTACCTGAGGTAGCACACGAGCCGACCCCAGAAGACTTGGCTAACCCTCGATTCTGCATGTATCACCAGCACACTCGCCATCCCACCTTTGACTGCTGGGCTCTATGAAACACCTTCCAGCAACGAATCGCTAGTGGCGAGCTCATCCTACCCCCACGAGACGTGAGGGAGGAGCCTTTCCCCACTCACGATAGAGGAGCAATGATGATAGCGACTGGGGGGGTAGATAGTGAGGAGCTCACTTCAGGAGATATTGCTCAGGTTGCGCTGGTCGAAGAGGAAGACCTGGGCGCGTTTCGCCTATTAGGGACAGCACCAATCAGGAGCATCCTCCAAAAGATGGATTTCTCTCCCCTCGCCTAAAAAGAGATCGCTAAGACTCTTTGGCTCGCCACGAGAGAGGGGCTAAAAGAGGCAGCGCTGATTGCACCAGTTCCAATGAGCCAGGGGTCACCCGGAGCGGCCATAGTTTTCAGCGAGGAAGACAAGTGCGTGCCCACGCCTCACAATCAACCTCTGTATGTCACAGCCTCACTTAATGGAGTAGAACTCAAACGGGCGTTTTTGGATAATGGTTCCTCTCTCAACATAATGCCCCTGGAGGTCTTTCATCGGAGCGGGTTACCATCTGGAAAGCTCGTTAGAAAGCCGACTGAAATTGCGGGATTCGGTAGTGATATCCGGAGAACAGAAGGACACGTGACGGTCGAGTTGGGCATCGGGAAGTTCAGAAGCTCTACTAAATTCCACGTTATTGATTCCGATACTTCCTACCACCTCCTCGTGGGCCGAAATTGGATGCACAAGTTTGGAATAGTACCCTCCTTGTATCACCAGTGCATGAAGGGATTCTGGAATGGAAAGCAAGTCACAGTCCACTGTTTCGAGCTTCCATTTGCCAGGAAAGAGTCTCATATGGTGGAGGCTGGTTTCTTTGAAGAATTCGAGGTCCTTTGATGGCTGCCCCTCTGTCGAGATGGGATGAGCTCGATCGACCACTACAAGAGGGAATCCTAACACAAAAAGAAGAACGAAAGGCTGGAATTGACCAGCGGCGAAAAACCGTGTGTAAGAGAGTGCGACTGTCCAATGGAAGAATCGCTTACCGTTTATGACGGTGTGGGGGGGCACGGCCTTGGGCGATTCCGCACCCCCGTGAACAAGCATGTGAAGCACATGACGGGGATTGTGACGAAAAAGTCAAACCAGAGCCGGCCGAATTGGGTCGGTCTAACCAGGAAGAGCTCGAGAAAGTTGATTTAACTACCGATGATTGGCCTCGTATAACTTACGTGAACAAAGGGTTGCCAGCGGAGGAGAAAACAGCATTGATAGAAGTGCTAAAGGAATTCAGTGATGTATTCGCATGGACATACGATGAGGTACCCGGGCTGAACCCCCAGATTGTTGCTCACCACCTCAACATACGGCCGGGAACGAGACCAGTCAAACAAGCACAGAGGAACTTCCGCCCAGAACTCGAATTACAGATCAAGGAGGAGGTGCAGCGGCTCTCGCAAGCTAGTTTCATCAAGCCCATTCAGTACCCTACTTGGTTGGCAAACATTGTTCTTGTGAAGAAAAAGAACGAAAAAATTCGGGTCTGCGTCGACTTTAAAGATCTAAACAAGGCGTGCCCTAAGGATGACTTCCCCTTACCTATAATCGACAGTCTGGTTGACTCGACTTCTGGGCACGAAATGTTCTCATTCATGGATGGATATAGTGGGTATAATCATATCAAGATGACGCCATGTGATGCAGAAAAGATAGCCTTTCGGACCCCATTGGGGAATTTTCACTATACCGTCATGCCATTCGGCTTAAAGAATGCTGGGGCCACTTACCAACGGGCTATGACGGCCATTTTCCACGACATGTTGCACAGGAATGTAGAAGACTATATGGATGACCTGGTAATAAAATCCCGAAGGAAGGAGGAACATCTAGCAGACCTGAGGAGAGTTTTTGAGCGCTGCCGCAAGTACAAGCTGAAGATGAATCCTTTGAAGTGTGCCTTCAGAGTTGAGGCTGGCCGGTTCCTGGGTTTTGTTGTACATCAATAGGGCATCACTGTCGATCATGATAAGGTACAAGCTATACAGGAAATGCCCCCCCTCGCACTTTGAAGCAGCTGAAGAGTTTAATAGGCCGGATTTCTTATCTCTGGCGCTTCATCCCAGCCTTGGCTGAAGTAACACACGCCTTTGGCTCATTGCTGAAAGGAAGTCCCGAGTTCAAGTGGGGCGAGGAGCATCAACAGGCCCTCATAAGAGTTAAAAATCTACTATCTTCACTAATCACTATGGTTGCCCCTCAGCAGGGTATCCCACTCAGGTTGTACATCACCTCCACTGAACATTCCATCAGGGCGCTGCTCGCCCAAGAGAAAGAGGGGCGAGAATGCCCTATTTATTACATTAGCCGAGTCATTCAAGGTGCAGAAGTGCGTTACTTGCTGATCGAGCACCACTGTTTGTCCCTAGCATTTGTAGTAAAGAAGTTTCGTCACTACTTTCTCGCTCATACTATCCACCTCATCACGAGGTGCGATCCCCTGAGGTACCTATTCTCGCGGCTTGTCATGTCGAGACGAGTGGCTGCTGACTTTTGCGAGTTTGACATACAATGCTCTGTGCCCCGTGCTATACTGAGCCAAGCATTAGCAGATCTGATGGCCCAGTTCCCATCGGGAGAATACGAACCTGTGAAGACTGACCTACCCCACGAGGACCTTGAGGAGGCATGTTGCGCTGCCAAGGATGCAATTTGGACGCTGTCGTTTGACGGATCGTCGACGGCGCAGGGAGGAGGCGCTGGAATAGTGCTAACCCCAGAAGAGGGAGAGGCTTAAAACTTTTCGTACAAGTTAACCTTCGGGTGTTCTAACAATACAGCGGAGTATGAAGCCTTAGTCCTGGGATTGCTAGCAGCCCGAGAAGGAAAGGTCAAACGCCTACACGTGCAAGGAGATTCCAACCTAGTGGTAAAGCAATTGGATGGCTCGTACACTATTAAGGAGCCGTCATTGGCAGCTTACAGAACCATCATACAGAAACTTAGCGGCCACTTTGATGAGCTGTGCATGACTCACACGCCCCGCACGGCCAACCGGCATCCAGACGCCTTGGCCACCCTAGCTTCTAAAGTTGCAATAGTGGGGGAATCAGTAAACATAAGAATTCAGAAGAAAGAAGCATCTTGCTTGCACAATGACGAATTCACCAATGACAGGAAGGAAGAAAATTGGAGAGATGCTTTTGAATCACACCTGAGGGACGGCAAAGGAAAAATCCCGTTGTCCGAGTTAAAAGATTATACACTTTACTTGGGGACATTATACTATAGAGCGCCCGGGGGCATCCTGGCAAGGTGCGTTGGAACTGAAGAGGCTGCATGCGTCCTGCACACCATTCACAAGCAAACTTGTGGCAACGATTCGTTGAGTTTTATACAGGAGAATACAGAGGCAGGGGTATTTCTGGCCATCCATGGCAAAAGAGGTGAGCACCATCCAGAGGGAGTGCCCGAGGTGTAGAGAGGCTCTCGACAGACCACAGAGTGTCGCCTGTGTGAGCGAGGATTGGAGGTAAAAATATTTGGATTATCTTGAGCGACACCTGCTCCCACAGGACCGCGAGGATGCTGCAGCATTAAAAAGGGACGCACGTCGTTTTTTCATCAGCAGCGGAGAATTGATGAGGCGAGGCTTTGACGGGAATGCCAAGCGCTGTATCAGTACCTCCGACGTACAGGAAGTACTTAAGCAAACTCACGGAGATGAGCACCAGGGATGGAGAAAGCTGTACAATTGGATTATCCAGATAGGCTACTATTGGCCTACCATGCAGAAGGATAGCAGACGGTATGTGCAAAGGTGCTGAGAATGTCAATTTCACAATCATGTAATCCATGCGCCCGCGGTCAAGTTACACCCCCTGAGCCCTCCCTGCCCTTCCACACCTGGGCGATGGACCTAATAGGCCCAATTTCCCCGCACTCAAGAAAGAAGAAATGGATTTTAGTGGCAACGGAGGTCTGCACTAAATGGGTAAAGGCGATGGCCCTCTCAACGGCAACAGGACAAGTTGTAGCTAATTTCATCAAGGAAAACATCATTTACCGCTTTGGCATACCTCGAGTGATACTATCCCGATAATGGAACTCCTTTCGTCAACAGCAGAGTTTGGGCGCTCCTTCAGCAATACCATGTCACCCACCATAAATCAACACCCTACTATCCCAAGGGCAATGGACAAGCGGAAGCTACTAACAAAACTCTACTCAGAATCCTAAGCAAAACTCTAAAAGAGCAGCATGGTAAATGGGCAGAGCAACTGCAGCTCGCACTTTAGGCCTATCAAACCACTATAAGAGGGGCCACGAGCGCCACACCCTTTTCCCTAGTGTACGGCACGGAAGCAGTCCTCCCTATTAAGATAGCAGTACCATCAGGGGGCTTAGCTGAATGGAGTCAGTCTCATTACGATCTCAGGCTCGGTGAGCTCGAGGGACTACAAGAGCAACGGGACCATGCCAAAGGAAAGTTGAAGATCTACCAGCAGAGGGTCGCCCGGGCTTACAACGCTACTGTCCGACCCAGAGCATTCCAAGAAGGCGAGCTGGTGCTAAGAACAGCGACGCACATAATGCGAAATCAATCAGGGCCAAAGTTTACCCCGAAATGGGAAGGCCCTTACGAGATCAGGACCGCGAGTGGCAGTGGGTACTATGAGATCGGCGAGGTCGGTAGTAACACCTTAGGCTTATTCAATGCTAAGTGGTTGAAGAAATACTATGCGTGACAAGCAACGCCAAACGAGGGTTGCAACTGCACCCTCACTCGTTTGTAGCAATATATATATGTAAGCATGGGATCTTATGTGACCCAAAGGAGTCCATACTTCCCGAATGATGAATGTGATTCCTACCATTAACAATTATTAAAACAAAGGGGCCTGAGGGAGTCCATACTTCCCTTATGCCTGGCCAAACATACAATGGTGTCAAAAAAGGGCCCGAGGGAGTCCATACTTCCCCCAATACTCATTGATTATTTTTTCTTTAGTTTTTGGTTGAAGTTTAAACTACTGACATACTACACCACAAAATAATTACCCTAGCCACGGCATTACAATCAATGCATCAATCTTTATAAATAGGTAAAAAAAACTTTGTTCCGTTGATAATCTCAAAATAGTCATGCTTACACGGGAATGATAGAATAAAAAAATAATAACAATAATAATAACAAAAGCTATAGTCTGAACATTTTATCTAAGGGAGATCGCCTAAGTTCAAGGTAGCCGGGCCAAGTAACGCGAGCCTGCGCCTAATCTCCAGGTCCAGCGAGGCGATGTGTTGTTCCCTCGCCTGCACCTGTTCTTACAGCTCAGCCAGGCGAGCTTGTTCAGCATGAAGAATTTGCTTCTCATCCTCCATCTGATCACGCAAATCCTTAATTTCCTCAAGTATGGTTTCTCGTGTCTCGAGGCCCCTGATCCGAGCGACAATATCGTTAGCCAACCCTACCTCGACCTGTGCTCTCTTCAGATTTGCGAGTAAAAGATCCACAGATTCGAGCTCCTCCGCATGTAAACGCCTTCCCTTGGCCTCACGAAGGATAGTCACCAATTCAGCCAAAGCCCTGTACACAAAGACTAAGAACAATGGTATGGCTTCATCAAGGTATCCAAAAGTTTGCGGGTGCATGGTTTTCACCTCACGCAGGATCTCCACCTCGCCCGCTGTAAGTTCGGCCCCCTCCCAATGGATGCTTGGAGGGACAGCCTCCCCTCGCCCCAAAGGGGTAACGAGGGATTCTTGCCTCGATCCTGCCGTGGCAGCTCCCCCTTCAACTGTTCTCGTGAGACAAGTTGAGTCAACCCCAGCATCCTCAATCGCTGTGATAGTTCGATCCTGGGACGTTTCCTCCTCCCCCTCGACTTACTCATTGTCATCCTTGGAACCACTTCGTCTAGAGGATTCACCCCCGGACGATCCCATAGAACCTAAGCTCTCTGTACCTTCTGAGTTACTTTCTTCAGGAGCAGGGAGAACTTTGATTGCCTTCTCAACCATGTCCCTTAACTCCTCGAATGGCTCATGAGGAAGCTCTTGAACCATCGTGTTTAAACCATCCTTGTCACTACCCTCGCTAGCATGACCCTCGCGGCAACTCACAACCTCGCCCCTAGTCTCTCGAACATCGATCGTTTCGGTATCTGCAAGTGGTCGTGGTTAGAATTGTAAATTTATATATCTAATAAAGCTTTAACGTGAAGAGGTTACCTTTATCTGAGGATGAGTGACTAAAGCTTTGCTCGATCTCGATCACACCCATGGCAGGGTCCGCGGCAGTATTTACTCTACCGGTTTCCTCGTCAAACCTCCCTAGGCCTCGAGTCAGGGACTAAGTTATTTCCCCACCCCATGCTGTGAGTGAGTGGGGGGGTTTAGGTCAGAGGAAAGTACATCCCTCGTAGCCCGGTCGGGGTCTTCAAGAACACTAGCGAGAATGTGAAGAGGATCTTGAGCGCCCCTACCAGGGTCATCCTCAGGAGGTAAAGAGCGGGAACTCATGCCAGAAGATGCCCCAGCTCGAGCCGGTGGGCGAGGGAGCCCTTCAGGAATCGAGGCCTTGGCAACAACGGCATCACGAGAAGAGCCCTGAAGATAAGAAGAAAGTGGTGTTAAGATCGGTCAGCAGAGAATTTAGATCAAACCATGTCGAGGTAGCTTACCTTAGCTCACTTCGAAAAAGAAGATTGAGTGGTAGAAGGCACGAAGGTGCTAACATCCTGGTCAGCCTTACGTTTGGTACGATGAGACTTTGTAGCTCGAAGGGCTATAACCGGTGCACGAGTATCCTTCAGGATCAAGGGACGAAGGTTAGCTGTATTGCATGCCTTGCCTGGACCCTTCTTGTACGCACGAAAGGAAGCATCTCCTCTCAGCAAAGGAGGGGCATGGACGGGCACTGGCTCGCCACAAACAAATCGATTGAAGGCACTAACTATCTCCTTCCAGTAAGCCCTCGTCTTCTCACCCCATCACCCCACTCGCGAGGGAGGAGAGACGCAAAGAATACGTTGAGCCCCTACGAGTTCCCCCCCCTAAATCCAGGAAGCGAGTGAAGCCCAACCTGTAAGTACTATGATCCTGACGAGCGCTGTAACCATAGTCTCGAGCAAGTCCTTGATCCTAACCGAATTAACCAGCCACCCGATGGGGGTTATAGACCTTACCCACTCCCGAGCTTAGAGGAAGGAGAGCGGGGAGATAAACTCCTAAGGACATGGCAAGAATGGTTAAGGCAGGATTGCACTTCAAAGCTTTACCCGAGATGACCTCGCCATCCTTTGGGGCCCAATGATCCACGCGAGGACCTTGGGTATAGGGACGAGCTATGAAGCACTTCTCCCTATCAATATACTCGGTGAGTTTCTTTTTTGGATTATGCTTATGCCATTGATAGGACCTCTTCAAGCCGCTGTCATGAGGAAGCGCAGTGGGTCGAAAGGCATACCCTGGGAAGTGCTCGTAAAGGAACATCTGAAGAAAGATGGTGTTGATTGGAGACACCACACTCATTCAGCCAATAGAACGCTTCATGTGGGCATGGACGAGGTCGAGCTCATGATAGAAGGACCCCAAGAACATTGCAGCTAAGGGAAGACTGTGACCCCCAGAAAGTTTGATGGATAGAGGAGCAAGGTCAGGGTTGGGCCCATCATCAGGAGGACCTGGGAAAATAAAGTGAGAGAGCCAAGTCAACAAGAAGCAAGCAAGACGAAGCTGGTCCAGGCACTTTGGGCCATTGAAGGCTTCCTCACCCTCCATTTCCCGAGGTGGGAAATCCCGAAAATAGTAGCGTAGGAGAGAAGCAAAGGTACACTTGTTTCCTGTTTCAGGAAAGTCTTCCTGAACACCGCTCTTTTGATAGTGCGTGGCGAGCTTGCCAGCCAAAGTAACGGCACTTCGAAGCTCGGTGATGCTCTTGACCTCGACCTCAAAAAAGACCCAAGTGCTTGGATCGGTCTCCCTAAACAAGTTCAGGCACATGAGTTGTACCACATCCTCGAGGGTAGGGGTAAACTCCCCCCAAGTGGTAATAAAAGTATGGGTGTCCTTATTCCAACGAGATAACAAAAGCGCGAGGCCTGAGCAATCTCGACCAATTGACAGTTCGTGTGTGTTGCCAATGGCGTCCGTTATTTTTGAACTCTTCAAGATTCTGGTAAACTCGGCGTCACTTAAGATAGCGTCCGTCCATAAGTCCCACCCTCGACCGTGACCAGTCTGGCTCGTAAAGATAAAGGGCGAGTGAGGAAAGTCGCCTCGCTCCACTCGAAATCTGAGTATAGAGCTTAAGGGGATGGAGACCCCCTCTCGCGCGTAGGGTTCACCCTCAAAGAGAAATGATCCCTCTTGGACTTCATCCACATCGCTCAATGCGTCGCCACTAAGCCAAAAAGTATCACTCGAGCCAAAATAGGGCACGACCCGCCATTTAGTTAGAGGAGGGACACTGGGGACATCGTCTCGAATTGATTGGGACATGGTCTATGATTAAATTCAAACAAGTACAAAGAAAGCTACTTATGCGAGCAAGGGTCTAACAAGAAGAGAGTATGTTCTATTTTACAAAATATATACAAGTGTGGTTTAAATAGTAAGGGTATGGTTCCCGAGGCGTCACACCCCTGACATACGAAAAGACGCGACGCGAAGCTCGAGGCATCCGAGCATTTAATACACTAATAAAAAGCTGACACGATGACCAAGGGAACCAGAACGACACGACCACTCAATAAAAATTATTAATGATTACGAAAAGACGTCTTGGCTTGCCCGAGCTCGTCTTACCCGCGACCTCGAGCAGGGGGGCAAAATGTTGATGAACTCGCCACATCACCTGTCTATGTGGCACCTCCTCGAACAGATGCTTTCGCATCACCTGCTTATGTGGTCCCACCTGTCTCAACAGGCACACCTGGCCAGAATCTGTCTGGCGTGTCATAGAGAAAAGGGAACAAGTACTCCTGGGCTGCTCGCCCCATGACTGGAAATACTGGCAAGGAAGGGGTCGCTACCCTTCACTCCTTCAAGGACGTACCCCTCTCTATTCGGATGGGTCCCTCCTCATTGCACTATCCATCGCTCGAGGTCCCTACCTGCAGACGGAACCTCAGGCGCGTGATTACCTCTGTCACCTCGAGCTCCCCTCATCATGAACACGAGGGGACCTCGAAGTCTGGCCACCTCGAATTCCCGACCTGGGATCTAAAGGGAATTCTAGGACCAAGGTCTGTTTCCCCGAGCTCCCCTCACTCTGAACTCGCGGGAGTCTCGGGGGGCCATGATTCGAACTAGATCTTGCAAGGTCAAGAAGGCAATACCTTGAGGAAATCCATTCTCTACCTTCAAAATCAGGAGTCTGAGAAAATGTGGACAGGTGGCTGGGCAGGTCAGCACAAGGGGGAAAGGATACCGATACCCATGGTCGAGCTCTAAATGGGGTTAAAAGAGGTTATTAATTATGAAAGACAGCCGACATGACTAGCATTAATGAGGAAGCGCCATTTTCCCTTTAGACTAGGGGGCAAAGCGGCTCTTCCTCTTTGGACTAAAGGGGGGAGGTATTCCACCCGATGAGCAATGTCCCATCTGTCAAAGGAAGAGGTCCTCAATCCCTCAGACAAGAGGGAACTCACCTCTGTAACCAACGGATATTGACCGTTCGGAGGCATTATAAATAGGAGAAGTTAATTAGCCTTAAAGGCAGAGTTAAGAGATTTCCAAC